CTGGATGTGGTTGCAACTCCTCAAGAAGTTGTTGATTTTGCTCCACATTCATCCTCCCCTTAAAGTCTACATACAAATGAGATAAGTTTTTTTTATTGTTTAATTCTATTCCCTTAACCTCATCCATATCTCTCAAATTTCCCAGCCCTTTTATGCCAATTTGTTGAAGGTGATTGAAGCTTTTTAGACATTCAACAGAACATGCTTCACTACCATAATTGTCCTCACTTATAACAAATATTTCTAATGTTCGTAGACCAGTTAATCTCTCCAAACTTTTTGGCATGTAACTTATAGAAGTCCTCTGATTTAACAAATGTCTCAAGTTGATTAAATTCCCATCTCTTGTGGTAGTTTTGTGAGATTTCCACACAAAGTGATGTCTAAGGTTTGTAAATTATATAACCTACACAATGACTCAGGAAATTTTTTTATGTTTTCATTCGAAGACAAATCAAGGTACCTCAAGTGTATTAATTTTTTTATTTCTACAGGAATTTCTTTAATTAAGCACTTATGCAAGGATAATGACCTTAGACATGTAGACTGATCAACTAATTTGGATAAAACTATCTTAGAGTCAGTAGAGCTACAATGAACCACAAGGCTACGTAGAAAAGTATTTCTACTATAAAAAGAGCTAGGAAATGAGGCCCCTTCTTGCATTCTTATCGTTGTATGTCTAACTTTATCATAAGAAGATTCTAATTCAATTTCTCCTGTACCATCAACCTCTATCGTAGAACATTCATTTTTGGTAAGAAATTGAGCAAAATCATGCACTATATCATGCATCTTGCAAGAATGTATACCAATTTCGTGTTCATGTTGTTTAAAATCTTGAAAGAAAGAACGCATTGACAAAGTTTCAAAATACTCTTCACCAACTAACTCCATATCCTTATTTGGTTTTGCAATAAAGCTACCTGCACTAATGAGAGTGTACAAATTCAGTACTAACTGATGTGGCTAATAGCCACGTCAGTTCCCTCCAAAGCCTTAAAAAAAAAAAAAAAAAAAAAAAATTCAAAATGAATAACTCTTTCAAACAAAAACAGAAACCCGCCACTTGAAACGAAAAACAGAGACCCGCCACTGATGGTAGTGTATCCTCTACCACCACCAACGTGGCCTGCAGTCTTCCACCACTAGCGTCGGGCGCGTCGTCCACCACCAGCCGACCATCATCTCCGCCAACACCGTCATTTTCATCTGCTGGATTTATAAAAAAATTGCTTCAAAATAGAAACCATAAGATTGAACCATCTTTTGCTTCATGGTATTATTTCTATAGTTTTAAAACATCATCTAAGAACAATATAGAAGCTTGAGAGTCATGATAAAAGCTATAAAATAATGCTGTACTTGCTAACATCCGTTGCTTATGTTGTGGTTTGACAATTGTTAGACTATTTCATTGCAAAATAGTTTATTTGTCAATTTATTTCTTTTTATGCAGGTTGTGCTTTTTTGAACTTGGTCTTGTGTGTTTATCAAGTTCCAAAGATGGAAGAGTGTAGTGAAAAAAATCCAGACAACTCTTCTTCTCATTTCATGTTGTGGAGGTAATATTTTGTTGGTAATCTCTTTTTATTCATTAATATGATTTTACATTTTTATGGTATTGTTCCTATCCTTTTGTTGTATTATTATATTAATTATGACTATTAAATATCAATAAATTAGATAATCATTTGAAGAAAATGGAAGATACAAGAAGTGCAGAGGAGGAATGGGAGCCTAAGCTGGAATGATTTTGATTCGCTTGTAATCTTGTCCAAACTACAAAAGCTATGGGAATAAAATGGGTTTCGAAGTTATTATACGATCTTCAAAGAAGGTATGATGGAGAGGTGACAACGCGACACTAGCTTGTTCTTGTATGGGAAGTCACGCAGTAACCCCGTAAATGCTTTTAAAATGGATCCAGTAAAAAAAACTGATTGAAGCTCGAATTGGTGCAGCTGTACGTTCTGAGCAAATGGAAAATATGTTCAGTTGTGTTTGATCATAACCATGAACTCAGTGTCCTACAAAAGTAGATATTTCAGAAGCAATCGAATTATACACCATATGTAAAAAGAAAGCTTGAAGTGAATGATAGGGTGGGATTAGGCCAAATAAAAATTTCAAATCCATGTTAGTTGAAGCAGGCGGTGCTGAGAATTTGCCTTTCCTACAGAAAGATTGTAGGAACTACATTGAAAAAGTTAGGAGGTTACGACTTGGTGGTGGGATGCTTCTGCAATCCAAAATATTTTTTGAAAATGCAAAAAGAGAATCAATTTCTTCTACATAATGGATTTAGATGAAGAAGGTCGATTAAAGAATGTTTTATGGGTGGATGCAGAAGTAGGGCTGCATTTAAAGAGTTCGGTGATGTTGTGACATTCGACACTACATATTTGACCAACAAGTATGATATGCCGTTTGGTGCTTTGTTGGTGTTGATCATCATGGTCATTCGATACTGTTAGGTTGTGGGTTAATCTCCAACGAGGACACAAAGACATTTGTATGGCTTTTTCAATCTTGGCTTGCATGTATGTTGAATTGCGCTCCTAAAGCAATAATCACTGATCAAGATAAGGCAATGCACAAATGCAATTGAGATTGTGTTCCCTGGTACACGACATAGATGGTGTGTGGCATATAATGAAAGAAATGCCTGAAAAACTTAGAGGTTATAGTCAATATGAACAGATTAATTTTCTTTGCAAAATGCGTGTTATGATCATTGACATGTGAGGAGTTTGAAGAACGTTGGAATAGGTACAATGATAAATACAACCTTCACGACAATAATGGTTGCTTGGATTGTATAATGAGACGACGTTGGGTGCGGCTTTTGTAAAAGATACTTTTTGGGCAGGTATGTTTACTACTCAACGCAGTGAAAGTATGCATGCATTCTTTGATGGATATGTTAATTCAAAAACCACTTTAAAACAGTTTGTGGAACAATATGAGAATGATTGCGTGATAAAGTGGAAAAAGAAAAGGAGGTGATTTTAATCTTCAAATCATGGATCCCTTGCATCAACCACTATGCTATGGAGAAACATTCCAAGATGCATATCCACTGCAAAAATTCAAAGAGTTTCAACAAGAGTTAGCTGCCAAGGTCTATGTGATTTATCTTCTTTCAAAGAGATTGGTTCCTATATGGAATCATAATAGAAGAAGATGTTTTGGTTGGAGAGACTCACCGTCGGGTTCCTTTGTGGTTGCTTTGATGAAGCAAGTTGTGATGTTCGTTGCAATGTCGATTGTTGAGTTTGAGGAATTTTATGTCGACATGCAATTGTGGTATTGATTCGTAAGCAAGTTTCTCATGTACCAGAAAAGTACGTTTTAAGACGATGGAGGAAAAATATAAACAGACACCATACCAAGGTTAAAATAAGTTATAATAGTTGGAGCACCAATCTTGACGGACAACGATTTGATGAGTTGTCTAATTTATCAACGTTGTAGCAGATTGGCATCAAGCAATGAGGATGATTGTAACATAGTGAAAGAAATGATCAATGATATGAAGAATAAATTGATGTCAAATAAAAGTGTCGGGATTGATAAAAGAACACACATGTCAGGTAATAATAGAATGATTTGTGAGTTGGTGATGATACTTTGAAAAGAGGGAGCAGTAATATCTTACTCCACGGGCATTCGCAGCAAAGGTCGTCCCCATTCAAAAGAAACAATCAAAGGTTGAAAAAAATGTTCGCAAAGTAAAAGGGAAGAAATTACGACAAGAAGAAGTTGTACTAGGTTTGAATCTGGTCTCACACTTGGATTTAATCAAGAAATTCAGGTATGTAATTCATTTATGTTTCTTTGTCTAAGTTGTGTTTACATGTGAATTGTAGAAATGTATGCAGCCCAAGAATGTTATTTTAGAATAACATGTGGTTGAGGTCTTTGTTGTATGTTGCACAGGGATCAAAAGAACTTAAGTCTCAAGAGTTGGATGCTCATGTTCACCAGCTGAAGGGCAGCAACTCCAGGTGCTTATGATTCTTTAGTTTTCTTATAAAAATCATGTATCAAAATGATTGTGTATGTATTTAACTGCTTGGTGTGGTGTTCATTGTTGCTTGCCATATTTTTGCTCTCTAATGTGGTAGGTTAAGATTGGTGCCTGCATATGTTAGTGATGTGAATGAGTGATCATGGATGGTCCATTGATAAATGATGCATGCATGTCTGATCGGAGCACTAGAATTAACTTTTAATATGTATTAGATGTTTATTAGCTGAATATATATATAATATATATATAATATATATAATATTATATATATATATATATAATATTATATTTATATTTATAATATATATATATTATTTTATTTTTTGTGTGTGGCAGGTCTCCAACACCAGCATTAATTTCAGGGGAGACATATTGGGGTGGTGCAGGATTTCTAGGCTATAGCTTCGTTTTTGTGTGTTGGATCTGCGACTGGATCTGCTCTTGAGGTGTGCTGGTGCTACAGCTTTGTTTTGTTCTTTGCAGTATTTGGGTATGTTGTGGTTGTTGTTGTGGGGGGTGACGTTGGTGCATAGCCAAACAAAGGATTCTGGAGAGTTTTGTTTGGAGATGAGCAGCAGAAAACTGCATTTTTGCAGTTCCCAAAAGTAAGTTGGAGTTGTGCAGTGCAGTGTTTTGTAAGAAGATTGGCTGTTTATGCAGTGTGTTCTGGAGTTTCAACTTCAATGCTGCATTTTGCTGGCTATTAGTGCAGTGTTTTTGGGGCATACTCTTTACATAGATGATCTTACAATCTTTTTGTGATATGTAAATACTAATCCATATTTGTAAGCAACAAAATATTCAATATATGTATATACACATAATTATATTCATAATAAGTTACTTTTATTTTTTTTTGGGTAACCTAATAATTTATACAAGAATAAAAGAATTACAATCTGGGAAAGGGACTCCCTTTAGAACCAAGAACCTTGGGCATTCCCAAGGGGCAAAATTACAAAAGCTATACAAGCTGGAAGGAAATCTCAAAAACAAAAAATGCACACAACAACATGGACACACAAGCTGTAACAGACACCGAAGACTGCACACAGCACCAAAGGCAGAGAACAATTGCAACAAGCTTCAAAAACTCACACATGCACAAGCTACACCAGTTACAAAATCTCCAGGAAAGAGCAAACAGAAACTGCTGCATTTTGACAAGCTATAGCACTTCCTCGGCAACAACCAATTACAACATAATCCTCCAAAATACTGATTACCCGCACAAATCCTGTAACCAACAACCAAAAGCTGCACAAACTGCAAAAAACTCCCAACAGCAAACACACACTGGACAGCCTATACAAACTGCAACAACCTTCTAGAAATTGCACACACTGCATTACCCACCCACAATCCTGTAACCAACAACCAAAAGTCCCACAAACTGCAGAAAACTCCATCAGCAAACACACACTGTTCTGGAACCTGCAAAAATTGCAAAAATGCAGTTTAGCTAGAGCTGGAGTTTAGACAACAACCAATCAAACAAGCAAACCATATATTAAATGGCTTGTAAAAGCTAAAAGCAAAAAAGCTCTGCAGAATTCCTATGTTGTTCCCTCTGTTCTGAGACACTGAATGGATTTGGGGCTGGTGGTAAAATGAATAATTCCACCTTCTAGAAGAGCAGTATAAGACCAGCTAATTAAACAGAGCTAGAGAGCAGTCTGCATAATGTAACACACAATGAAAAATCATGGTAGGTTTTGGAATATGTAAGATATACAAAATATCGGCTGCACTACATGCACCATATAAACACAATTCATAAAGCAGATATCATGTCCTGCATTGATTTTGTATCCTCTCAAATAAATGTACTATATACAAAAAAAATTACATCCCTATTCCTATTCATATATGTCCTAACCACTATACCGTGAAGCCAACTATGTAACAAAGTTTTGATACCTGTCAGCAACAAAAAATGAGCTTTGCACTCAATTTATTAAAATTGCAAGTCCAAACAATGGGAAGATACTCTTTGACCCGTGACCTGAAAGACACATTGACCAACAAAAATCAATTATCACCGAGATCATGACAAAATACAAATAGTAAAAAAATATTCAGTTGCTCACTGGTCATTCACTAAGAGTGCTCTGCTCGTCTCACCACATCTAAAACCAGAGATTTCCCTTCCGTTATACAATGAACAAGTCAATCAAAAATATATCAACTGGCGACGCGAGTATGGCGGAGTCTGGCGAGGCGAGGCATGGCGTGGCGGCATCTGGCGGGCGTGGAAACAACGATTGCAGTTGGTTTGGCGAGAAGCGGCGGCTTCCGGCGAGGCGTGGAAACGACGGGAAGGGGAAGTCTCTGGTTTGTCGGCATCTGGTAAGGCGTCGCGGCATCTGGCGAGGCGTGGCGCGGCACGGCAGCGTTTGGCGAGACATGGAAAAGAAGATTCGGGTTTGGTTTGTCAGCGTCACGACGTGTAATGAATTGGGGATGAGATCTGAGAAAATTTAGGGAAATTTTGAGAGATTAACTATGAGATGAGAGGTAGAGAACGAGGGGATTTGCGTTGCAGTGAATGAATTTGATTTAAGGAGCCTGAGATTTAGGAAGTGAAATTTGAAAAAAAAATATATATATAATTTTAAGGAAATTGATGTGGCAGATGATGAGTCATTTGCCACATCAGTTAGTACTTAGGATTTGTACACTCTCATTAGTGCAGATAGCAGTGCTCTTTGGTTTTGACATTATATAACCCTGAGCCATCCATAACCTAATCAATTGTTCTCTCTTTATCTCATAATCCTTTGGAAAAATAGCACAATATGAGAAACATTTTTTCAAAGTAGGGGGTAAATCATAATAACTTAATAGTAGAGGTCGAAAAACCTCTTGTTCTACCTCTTCTAATTCCCAAATTTCACTCTCTAAGATATTTTTCCACTCCACAAATTTTCTTTTAAAACACAAAAGACTCGCTAAAGTCCTTACTGCAAGTGGCAAACCCTTGCACTTTTGAACAATTTTCCTACCAATTTCTACCAATTCATTATATTCTTCTTTGCTTTTTCTTGAAAATACAACTTTACTAAACAATGACCAACATTTTTCCTCAGATAGTGTCCCTAAGGGGATTATTTTGGTGGTTCCTATGGCTTTTGCAGCATTCTCCTTACGTGTGGTCACCAAAATTCTACTTTCTAGAGAACCACACTTAAGAGATCGCTTCAATTGATCCCAATTTTTGAGATTTTCAGTCCATATGTCATCTAAGACAAGAAGAAACTTCCTTCCGCCAATAAGTTGGTGTATGTTTTGTACCACAGTTTCTAACTCGTTTAAGTTTGGTGCACTATTTGTAAGAGATTCAAGGATTGCCTTAGCAATCCTAAGCTCATCAAAAGGCTCAGAAACACACACCCATATTTTTTTTTCAAAATGGGTGTTCACCTGATCATCATTAAAAGCCAATTGAGCAAGAGTAGTCTTACCAATGCCTCCCATCCCTACTATAGAGATAATGCAGAGGTCTTGTACATGAGCATGACTATTCTGACTAAGCAAAAAATCTATTATTGTATTCTTATCGTCATCTCTTCCATAAATCTCTGTTAAATCAATAACAGAGGTTGTCATTGGTCTTTCTACATCTTTGCTACTCTCAATGATTGATCTAAATTGGAATCTCTCTTTCTCAGTAGCAATAATATCTAATTTTCTTTCAAGATCTTTTATCTTGACAGCAATATCATAACGCAAAACCAATGACCTACAATTTAGATAGTAAAGAATGAGGGAACATACCTTTTTCATAGGCTTAGAAGCATTTTCAACTTTCTTAATTCTTAAAATCTGAAGCTTTGTGTTCCACTCGTCCAACACATCGTCTATGTCGTAGGACACGTCTTTGAGCTTGTCTAACCAATCTCTCACAACATTGTCCTTCACTTGGCGGTTCTCAGCATCAACCAGCACAGCTTGAGTTGCCCGAAAATTGCTTTGAAGCTTCCGAGCTTCTTGTTTAGCACCCACAATTAGGCTTATCCCTTCTCTCGTTTGTTGACGAATGAATGGAGCCAGCTGTTCCAAGGCCATGGAAACAAGAGCTTCAGCCATATTGAATGATGGTAAGTGATTAAACAAAGATTGATCAGAAATCGAAATATTTGGTTTGCTTATGTTGTGATAATGCTGCAACTTTCATTCAACTTTTATAGTGTATGAAAAAGACCAAGGAATAAATCCAAACCAAAGTTTTGCTTTGATACTAGTTAAAGTATTAAGTGTTGTCCAAGCAATTCCTTCATTCTTTTCTTTGAGCATATTTTATTGTCAAATACGAAGCCTCTTCAATCTACAAGCTATGAATTATGATAATGATACAAGAATAGTTAAAATAATTCAATTGATTTTAAGGATTAAACTTTCAACGAGCTACTCTTGAAGAAAGAAAGAAAGAATTTGAATGATTTTTGTTGGGAGAAGATGATCTTTACTCAAAGAATAATTAAGTTTCCTTTACACTTTTAGCTTTACTATAACTTGAGATGAAAGTACCGTTTCAGCAAAATTTTGAGACTAGGATATTATGTGAATCTTAAAAAGCAAAAATTCTGCAAAATTCATAATTTTCCTCTGTTCTGAGACTAGAAAAATATGGCATTGATGAATTACTATATGAAAACAATGTTGTTTCAAACAGATTTTGCATTATAAAGCTTGTAAATTAGTTTAATAATAACTTTTGGACTTAAAATATTTTTTTACAAATTCTCTTTTATGGTTAAAACAGTTAAAATTTGTTGTCAAGATCTTAGTAGAATATATGATTCTGGTTTGAAACTTAGTGATTATATTATAATCATATAAGCATTAACATAACCTCTATCAAGTTTCACCGTTGCTAGATGATAAATAAACATTCATGTAACTGAGAAATAATTAAGAAATATATGGCACCATTTGGTTTATTATTCTGATGCTTTTTAGAATAGTATTTTGAAAAAAGTAAAGTTAAGTTGAGTTGAGTAGTTTTACGAGAAAAGTAATTAATTGTTAATGTTTTGAGTTGAATAAAGTATGATTGAATTTTGAGAATATTAAAACAAATACAATCATATATATTATGTTTGCTTAGCAAACAACATAGATGGGCTTTAAAGTTATGGATCGGGCTCAAACACAAACTATTGGGTTAAAGGCAGTCGAGCATGGCCCAAAAGATACACAAAAACGAATAAGAGAAATTTCATATATCTTCATATTATATCAAAATTCTCTAATCAATTTTAGTTTTAGAAAATGTTTTTTTACGAATTTTAGAGCAATACTACAAAATAATCACACAAAAATTCTTATCAGTTTTACGAATATTCTCAAATACAATCTAACCTAACTTCAATTCTAGAACCAACCCCAAATTCAACTAAATTCCCTACAAGTAAATGCATGGAATCAACTGAAAATGATAAATAAATTAATAATTTTTCTTTGATGTAACATGCATTGGGCCATTATAAAGCTTTAGATTATTTAATTTTAGGATAAAAGTAAGTCAATAATATCATCATTTACATATTATATATAAACAATGTGATGTCACATCCCTACTTTATCAAAAAAAAAAAAAAAAAAAACTATATAATAAAAAAGCTTGTCCAATTCAAAGTTTGGTACTGCCACTAATTGATGTGACACAATATACTGTAAAGTCAATTTAACCAACTCATTTAGAATGTGACACCAATATGAATAAGACTTCACTTATAATATATTATTCACACATACTTTATGTTACAATGAGGACAAATATGAATACCAAATATCAATGTCATATTTCTAGACCACCAATCTCACGTTCTTAAAAATTTTTAAAACAATTATTTCCTTTATTTTTCATTGCCTTTATTATTATTATTATCATTATTATTATTATTATTAACTCAATTACAAAGTTTTACAAATGTGTTTCATAAACATCCTTACTTAAATTAGGATGTGAATTATCCATTATAAAATATATTATAATTATATGGATGTGAGAGAGAAATTGAAAGTAATTATTTTCTGTGCCACTTCAAGAACTCTAAACCATAGTGTTTTAAAATCCAACTTGGGGTTGAAACCCATCAAAATGATCTAGTCTTGGGTTGACCAGTTTGACCTGTAGGTCAAACTGATGTTCAAAGGTTTGAAATCTAATAAAAATACCCTTAAAGATTCGGTAAGTCCACATAGGTTTCGAAATCTTGCAAAAACACCTCGAACACCACCATTTGTTTCGACAAATAGGGCATGTTTCCCGCAACGGCAACACTCCTCATTACTACGAAAACACTTCCCTTAGTCTCTTGACCAAAACTCATCACACCTCTCCCCTGTTTGCCTCCCCAATCGTCAGCAACATAGGGCTTTTTCTGGGGACATAATTTTGCGATTTTCGATCGTTTTACTCATCGAAAATCGTCGTCGTCCCCACCATTGCACTCACCGACTATTCATCTTCAAAAGCCCTAACATTTCAACATTTAATTGTTCATATATTAATGTCTTAATTTCTAGTGTTTCAATAAATAAGAAAATTTGTAACCTGATCTGGTGAAGGCCTTAGGTCCCAGTTCAATCGACCAGGTTTTAAAACACTGCTAAACCATTAATTGCAATAGAATAATAATTAAAAGCTTGTGTCGAAAGTATGAAACTTGATAATACTTATGAAACTTGATAATACTTAAATAAGGTTTGATTCATCATCACCGGACTGAATTAATATTTTACAAATGAATCTAATTGTATTGAAACATAATTAAGACAAAATTAATTTGAGGACATCCTGACTAGAGATTTATTAGTTGAAAGTACAATACAAACATTTAAGTGCTTTTCTATGTCACTTCAACAAATTTTAAACGGTTTATGGTAATAGATTGATAACTATAACTAACAACTAATGTTGAAATTATAAGCCAAATGTTTAAACTATTTTTTGTGTCATCTCATCAAATCCTAAACTGTTGATCGCTATAAAATTTAAGTTTAATCAACCTAACAAGTACGTAATTGTTATACAACTGTCTCGTAACATTTGTAAAATATCTAGGCAGGTGGATATGAACTAGTTATGGAAACATGTGCAATAATTTAGATAAGAAATGCAAAACATGTGCAATAATTTAGTTTAGAAATGCAAAACATGTGAAAAATGAGGAGATTTGGTGGGTTTGGTAATTGGATACTCTTCTCCTTTTGGAAGATCTCTTGAAAGCAAATCACCTATCACCCACAAAAAACACACTTACAACAAACACATGTATGTCATGACTCATAATATTCTTATGGCCCCATCTTTCATCACTTAATTGTTACTTTTAGGCCCACTTTCAATTCTGTATTTTCAATTAATTATGGAATTTGTCATTATTATAGTTGAAATTTGCCATTATTATAATAAAAGTGTGTTGACAAACGTTGACTTGATCGTTGGAATTTGGTTAAGTAAGATTCATTATTGGTAGACAAGATCAATTGTGAGTTGATCAATTATAAATTAATCCGTTGTGTTTATGAGTGAAAGTTTGTGAAAAAAGTTTGTGACCATAGCATCATTGTGCTATTATTATTATGTTACTTGTGGGTATTGAGTGTAACCATCATCAAATCAAGTTGCAAGATTGGGTTACTGTTAAAAAATATTCTTTATATTTTACCAAAATTTCATATAATGCAGTAATAATAATGTTAAAAGATATTCTATATTAATTATTAATTAATAAAATATCTGGTAGGATGCTGAGACCCGCTTCTTAAGATCCTCAAAAGACAAACCAAAACTTTGGATTTAGCTCACGTGACATGAAACTCCAATCAGTTTTCTCCTATAAATTTTCTCTTTTTGTTTGTAAAACTCAAAATTTCTGACCTTTGTTTTCCTTCTTTTTGTTAATCATGGGTATCTCAAAGTGGATTCTTTTGTTTGTTACTACTCTGCTTTTTGTTAGTCCAAGTTTTGTTAGATTTTCTTATGGCGCTTTGAGCTCAAATGGGTTCTCAGATATTCCCAAAAAGCTGTTGGATTATGCCAAAAGGCAGGAGCTTGTGGATTGGATGGTTGGTGTTAGGAGGAAGATACATGAGAATCCTGAACTGGGTTATGAGGAATTTGAGACTAGTAAGCTCATTAGAGAAGAGTTGGATAAAATGGGTATTAAATATAAATACCCAGTTGCAGTTACTGGTGTTGTCGGTTTCATTGGGACTGGTGAACCTCCTTTTGTTGCAATTAGAGCTGATATGGATGCTCTTCCCATGCAGGTTTGGTTCAATTCTCATAGTTTACTTTTTGTTGACTCAAAGAGATTTTTTTTTTTTTTTAATGCTGTTGTTTGATTGCAAGATGTTTTATGTTGTTTTAATTTCGTATGTACGTTTGGTTTAGTTTAACCATTAGGCTGATATTGTCAAATGAGATGAGTTCTGAAAATGGATGATTTTGGTTGTATTTTCATAACTTATTTTAATTAAGTTAAAATGCTTAAATTTAGTGATTTTGTTAGATTTTTTGTATTTACAATGATGTTGTTTGATGACAAGATGCTTTTGCTGTGATAGTTTCATTTGAGTAATTGGCTAATATTTTGTGAAATAAGATGAAATTTGGAAATGGATATTTTTGTTGAAATTTGAGTTCATTTTTTTTTTTTTTATTGATTTTAGATGACTACAGAGTCACTTTACATTTTTATGTATTACACGATGATGATTGTGTGGCCTCTTGCCTTTCATTTGGAAACTTTTTCTTTGGTTGAAGAAAGGAAGTTATTGAGAACTGGACTGATGGGACTGATGTTTTTGATAGGAAATGGTGGAGTGGGAGCACAAGAGCAAAGTTCCGGGGAAAATGCATGCTTGTGGTCATGATGCCCATGTCACTATGCTTCTTGGTGCTGCAAAGATCCTTAAGGAGCACCTTGAAAAGTTAAAGGTCGGTTGCTTTATTGTTGCCTGTTAAGCTCTACTTCTTTCTGGACTAAGATACTATTTCTTTGATTGTGACTCTGAAACTGGAATATAGGATAGATAACTGATTTTACTTACGTGTTTCTTTCATGATGATCGGCTTTTGATGCAGAAGTCTAATTTTCACTGTGTAATGCCTTTAAAAGTGGAATATTCCAAGAACAGTATTTAGGAGCTAAAAGTGATTAAGCCCTCAATTTCTGATTAGGATTATTTTTTGTTGTTCTGTTCCCTTTCAGATAGTCATTTTGTGACTTTATTACCATGTATGAAATGCAAAAATGCATACCCTGGACATCATTGTTGCAAAAATTGCCTCTGATTTCCGCAGAAAGTAGAATTTCTAGCCCAACACTGTCAGCTTTTTATATTTTCACCCTTGTCTTTTTATCCATTTCATGTTGAAAGAAAGCGAGAGACAGAGGGATTTTGATATGGAAATTTCTTTCTTTCATTTCTTAAAAGGTTTTTGAATTGGGATGCATCAGTTGAATGTTTATCTTTCTGATTCTAATTCAATATTGATCAGGTCATGAACTGGGTAATGTTGGACATTACAAAGTGGCACATTACTTCTATTAAAATTTTGAGTTTTACTGGTGAAAGCTTCCAAGTTTAATTTCCTCCTTCCTCTTCAGAAGTGATAATTTCAAACTTTTTAGTTATTTGTTTCAGAAATACAAAATAGTATCAATTAATGTGATGAACAATGTTTCTCTTTAAAAGTTTGAAGTATTGAAGCTTCCTTGTTCTCACTTTTATAGATACCTGATTTTGAACCATTTTGTTTTTTCACTAGGGTACTGTTGTTCTTGTTTTCCAACCTGCTGAAGAAGGAGGTGGAGGGGCAATGAGAATTATCGACGCTGGGGTATTAGAGAATGTTAAGGCTATCTTTGGGTTGCATGTTTCACCTGATATACCTGTAGGTCAAGTGGCCTCCAGGCCCGGTCCTCTGTTAGCTGGGAGTGGCTTCTTTGAAGCAGTAATTAGTGGAAAAGGAGGTCATGCAGCCATCCCCCAGCATTCAATAGACCCAATATTGGCAGCTTCTAATGTGATTGTAAGTTTGCAACATCTGATTTCACGTGAAGCTGATCCACTTGACTCACAGGTAATTTCTTCACCTCCAAAGTCTCTTATATTTATGCAACGTGTTAGCTTCTTTTAGAAATTTTTTTTCTTATGATACACGTGCACCTATAATTATATAGGATGATGTTTCGTCTTTGTATGGCCTGCATCAGCCTTTTTAATCTGCTCTAGGCTGTTGTTGATGCCTAGTTTGGATTTGGTACCTTAGATGTTTGGTTCTCCTAATTACACAACATCATCTCACAGTGGAAACCACTGCTTATACTCTCTGAAGCATATAGTGTTTTAGATATATCTATCCAGGTTCTTCTCAAAGTGGTTGTGACAATGTATTGTAATATGTCGTGGCAAACTGTTTTTTACTGGCAAGAAGTTGCTATTGCATTACTTTTTAGACAGCAGACTACAGATTTATCATGTTTATAAGCTCAGATGTACAAAGCAGAATTCTGGCAAATAAGCAGATATTTAATCTGTTAATACATTGTGAAGGTCATCTCTAATTTACATAAATTTGGTCCTCTAGAATTTCTGGATGTTACAGTAAGTACACTTTGGGTGGGTTCGACCACCAAGTTCATTCTATTGTCATCTGATCATTTATTTAAGAAGTTGTTCCTCTAGGGATTGATGAGAATGAGAAATAGAACATGATCTCAGTATCCAAGTGGCAGCCAAGAACAACTCATTTGTTTAGGGACTCTCCAAAAATGCCATTACAAGATCAATAGTAATTTAAGCTCTTGTGAAGTACCTGACAATCTTATATGCCTTCTTTAAGGAGAGAAATATCATGATACAGATAGTGGTTTGACTTTGATTAAATGCATCTCCTATAGACTTTTTAGTTAATATATTCATGATTTATTGCTGCTTCTGATAGTATGTTTCTAAGAAGCATGGCTCATGGCTCATTAATTTATAAAGCATCTTAGAATGGCTGCACTATTCTGAATCCAGTGTTTTAAACATTAAGTTATTCACTTGCAGGTAGTGACAGTTGCTAAGTTTCAAGGGGGTGGTGCATTCAATGTCATTCCAGATTCAGTCACTATTGGTGGCACCTTCCGTGCGTTTTCAAAGGAGAGCTTCATGCAATTGAAAAAAAGGATTGAGGAGGTTAGCAGTTGAATAGCTTCAGCTTGTAGTAAACATCACTGCATATTGTTCAATAATTCGTAATTTGATTAAATACCAGAAAGCACACAGTGTTCATAATTGCACATATAACACATATAGTTCTTGATTTTTAACCTATTAAGTTCGAGAGGTTCTTACTTTACTTTTCCCACCTAAATGATCTTTTTATCAGGATAGTTCTCTGAATTATAGATGGATTGTCAACATTTTAGCTAGTGGCCCAATCTAATGGCATCTCTTTCCCATTAGATGGGCTAGATGATGCAATCGTGGGTTTAATCTCACTTGGGTTGGAGTATTCGAGTATTATCTAAGACTGGAAAAAATTATTTAAAATATTTTAAAGGGTTTTCTTCAATAGGATTTGCTATTTTTATCATCTGGAAAGACTGATTCATTTCTGTTACAGGTTATCACAGGACAAGCTGCCGTGCAGAGGTGCAGCGCAACTGTTACCTTCCAAGAAAACGGTAAAGCTTTCTTTCCTCCAACTGTGAATGACAAAGACTTGCATGAGTACTTCCAGCTTGTTGCTGGAGACATGATTGGAAACCAAAAAGTTAGTATTATGCAGCCATTAATGGGTTCTGAAGATTTTTCATTCTACCAAGAGGTGATGCCTGGATACTTTTTCTTTCTCGGGATGAAGAATGAGACACTTGGGAAGCTTGAATCTGTGCACACACCCTACTTCACAGTCAATGAAGATGCACTTCCATATGGCGCTGCACTTCATGCATCACTGGCTTTAAGGTATCTTCTTGATTTCCAACCAAAAATTTCTTCGCCAGAGGGAAAACATCATGATGAACTGTGAGTTGCTGATGGACTGTCTTCCTAAATCCTAACGAGTCTAATACCCGGCATTGGCTTAAATTCTTTCACATATGGAAGTGAGATTAATATATTCTTATACCGTTTTCGCTCGTAAATATGAATTATTATGCCAGTTTTAGTCAAATCTTATCATCAGAATTACAGGTTTGCTTCCCAGAAAATATTTTTACGCTGTTGGTATTGGTTTTGGCTAGGCAAGGAAGAACGTATGCAATTGTCAGTATCAAATCAAAATAATCTCTTTTAGAGTTTTAGTCGTTCATCTATTTCAAATCATGTTTCTACCAGATTTTCTGTCTTCTTTACTAATTGCAAGTTTGCAACAGACATAATCTCTCTGTACGTGATCCCTTTTTTCTTAACTAGAACTGACGCCCCAAACGAAAGATTGTCTTATGTAATCATAAACTAAATTGCAGTATCAGAGATACAGCATAACAAACCCAGCTTGCTCCGTTTATGCCGAAGCCATCTTTAAGTGCGTAACTGTCGAAATCCAGAAAATGTCCAGAGTCCCTTTATCGAGTAGTTTAATGTCAATCTCAGTTACAGCCAAACATCTCAACATGCAGAATCATTCTTATATATATATATATATATATATATATATGTTGCCAAATTGGAGATTGAATATTTCTTTTAATGTATGTTACAGTAACATTACATTTGATGGGCTGATAGCAGATAACATAGCATATTATTGTTTAAGGAGCTTTTCTAAGAAGCTTAATGTAGAATCTAATTGTCTGTACTATCAAAATTCTTTGAAGATTAATGGTTAAATAACCTGTAAACTCAAGGCACAAAGTCATGAAATACCTCCTAATGTAGACTGGGATAGCGCGTGACTAAACTATCATTGTCCGAAACTCTTCCCCAGTTGTGCATCTCAGTGACCAAGCGTTGATCAAAATCCTAAAACTTTGGGTGCCAAATCTAATAGAGGTTCCAGAGCACTAGGAGCAAACTTTCTTGCAAAAAGGAAACAAAGTGAGACTTGCTGGTCATTGTAAGTGCAAGTTTCACTTTCAAGAATCTTCTTCAAAAATTCCTCAGTTATGTCTTGTTTCCCAAACGTAGCAGGGTGAGCACCGCCTCTCGACCAATCTGTCCAGGTAAGGGTCCGGTTAGCCAGAAGATGTGGTGTTTGAATGGTCAGCATTGTAGGGAAGTAGTGTTCATCAACATAACATCCTGGAACGCAGAAATCTCTGAACTTAGGATAGTAGGTGATGTCTCCAACAATGTTGATTGCCAGCATCCGATTGACTTCAAACCACTGAGACCCTTTTCGCCACTGATTGAGTGTGACCACAGGTGCCATGTTCCCATCATACCGCCCTCTTCCATAGGGTCCAGGATCATCATATGAACTCATAAAACTATAATTGGATCTTGATAAGTAGTAATAAACAACGGTGAAATTCTGGAGAGGAATGCATGCCTCAGACAGAAGAACAAACCATTCATTCGAAAAATCAAGCAATGCATTCCCTAGGAGTCTTCTCTCGGCTTCACACATACTCATCATTCCCCATTCAGCTGGCTGCAAAGAATGGAAGGATTCATGAATAATCATATCTGTATAGAAACTCAAGAAAGAGCAAGCAAATCAACATAGAAGAAGAAATAAGAGATCAATTCCCATTAAGCAAATGTTCTTATTAAATTAGTCCATTCATTCTTTTAAAAAATTTCTTTAAAGAAATCAAAATGATAAAAACCTAGCATTCAGAGACACAGGGATCCAACTCTTTCACACTGAATCTCACATAAAACCTTCAATCAATTCAAGAAAAAGAAACAATTATGCAAAGAGAAAGATGGTGAATACCTGACTTGGGATTTGTCTCTTGTAAAACACAGAAGAAGGTGTAAAATTGGCAACATAAGCTGGATGTGAATGAACATAGATGGAATAATGCTCCGAAGGGCCGCCCTCGAAGAACTTTTCCCAGAAAGGTGCCAGGGGCAATGGCCCCTTTGTCAAGAACATGAAGGCAACCTTGGGAACTCTTTTGAATGGATATTCCTTCATTCTAGGATCAAATGAAGCCCTCCATAACAACTCTGTGTCATTCATTGAATGTGACAATTCTGCTGGAGGCCTAACCAAGGATTCTATACTAAGTGCATCTTGAAAACAAGCCTGAATAATGGAGGGAGCTATAGGAGCAATATATTTCATTGACAAAAATTTCATAGCATGCATACTAATGATCGAAATTCCAAGCCCCACGACAAAACACATCAAGATAACTTGAACAAGTCTCAATGGCAAAGGCCTAGCTGGGGCTGGGGTTGGGCTTGGTCTAATAGGAGCCTTACCCTCTTCTATTGACCCCATCAATCTCGACTGCATATCTTCACCTCAAACGCTTTCTGGTTATCAAATTTTCTAAAAACTGGAATCCAAAATCTTCTTATAATGAAAAAATTGCAAAAAGTTTGAGTTTTGCCATAAGGGTATTTAAGTTTTGCATTTCTAGGATCATCATATCACACAATATCATCAAAATCTTACATACATCAAATTCAAAGATCACCACAAACAAGCATACAAAATCATTCCTTGACAAATGGGTACTTACCCAGAAAAGAATCTTTAACCACTAGAGGTACAAAGTTTCAAAGAAACAACAAAATTTTCATCCTAGCGTCTTGACAAATGCAGCTACAGCATGTAACATGATTATTATGAGAAAGAAGATGAGACACAACAGTTACCATTTTCCAATAATGTTTTTAATGCTGTTATGAAAGGTTGAAAACGTTTTAAGAAACAAGAGATTGAAATTTGGTTAAGACTTTTGCATTAATTCTTGAAAATAATTGAAAACAATAAATGATCTGCAACAAAGAAGCTTTGAAACTTTCATGGGAGGAGTTGTCAATGAGTTCTCTCAACGTGGGGTGTTTTAAAACTTTCAGGTTGGTCAAATTAAAGCTTTAAACATATTGTCCTTATTGAAGAAAGAGAGAAAGGACAAGTGTTCAGTTCGGAGAAACTTATTACAATCTGATTTTGTTTTTGTATTTTTATGTGTGGCGATGTTGTAGGCATCAACACTAAACTGACTGATAAAAATAAGGTTCATCGGAAATAACGGTGAGTATTGAAATTGTCACCTTTAATCAAATGAAATCTTATTACCTCCATTAAGCATTATGTTTAAGGCTGTGATATTACAATATTATCAAACTCGAACCATTTTTAGAAATAAATAAATAAACTTAGACTCGGTATGTTTAAATATAAGTGTTTCAATATCAACATATATGAGAGGTTGAATTTATTTATTTATTTATTATTATTTTTTTCATTATGAATTTGGACGATATTGGTTTGAAAAATACAAATGACTTTTTATTCAAACATTATATTAATTAGAAGTGGACTTTCTTATACATATAACGAATTTCAGTAATGTGTTATGATTGTGACAATGAAACAATTTTCTCATTTCAAATAACATATATTTGATTAACGTGTAATGTCGAGATTGAATCGTATTATCTAATGCGTTAATCTTTTATGTCAATTAGAAACATGTAATCACATTTTTTTTAATATTTGTATTAATTTTTGGAATGATTAAAGTCACATAGTATAACCATTACTGGATGACTTGATGGTAAAAGAGTTAAAAGAGTTTCATGAGCTATTGAATTTGAGTATTCATTCCAAACACTAATAAGGGTGATTAGATTGATAACTAACATTAAGTAACATAATTGTATGGGGTGATTAGATTAGCAGGCATGTTTCATAATTTTCTTAAATTTAGAACTCAAAAGTACTTTTGCATGTTAAAAAGATTGCTAATGTCTACCAAAAATTATTAAACTAAATTCTTATTTTCTTGAATAATTCATTTCTGAATCACAATCCAAAAGATATTGAGCTTTATTGTAGATTTGCTGTGGCTTTTTGACTTGCAAAAGTCCACTTAGATTTGAATTGATTATCTTATCATAAGGAATTAACTAAAACTTTACTTCTTAAACCAAAGGCATAAGGATATTATAGCAAGTACCAGAAACATAAAGAATATGATGCTTTTTTGAGTTAACGATTTTTTCTCATCCAAATAATGGCTTAATGACATTTTCTCACCTACAAACTTTTAAAATACCATTTTACTGTCCAAATTTATATTCCGACAGCAAATAAAAAATAAATTTGATCTAGACTGTTGGGGCTTTTAAAGAGAGAAAGTTAACGAGTCTTTTGGTGGTGAAATGTTGAATTTTGATGATTATAATTGATTAAAATTTGCCTTGGGAGAGACAGTTACACAAATTCTAATCGCTTGATTGTCGACGATTAACGAAAAGAGTAATGTTATGCTTACTCACGACCTTACTAACCATCTTATTATCCTTTGTTAAAATTACATATGGTACCCATACTATGCGTATGGTATTAGTACTACACTTTATATTTATACATGATAGTAAAATGGTTAATAAGATCGTGAGTAAACATAATATTATTATAACGAATGTAACGAAAATAAGGTTAGAAGGGTTTTGATGAATAATGATAAAAAAAGAGAATATGATATGATATGATGTTAGGTCACAATAATGGTAGAATTAAAAATAAAAATTATATTTAGATAGTAAAATAATATTTCAACCCTTTATTTGGATATAAAATAGTATCTTACTCATACTTCTCTTTTCTGGGTTCCTTTTTAAAGTTTTGCAGAATAAGATCCCTGTTGTTATGTTTTAAAATAAATTTTGCGGCATCTGATTCTTGTGTCGTCTTCCAGTTTGATTCAAAATGAATTTGATTCATGCTGAAATTAGTTTAAACAACAGAATACAATGCTTGATATCCACATGAACTGATATCAAATTTCCATCCTAAACCAAACAAAATTGTTTCAAAAAAACAAATTTCAGTTCATAAAGAAGGATAACTAAGAAGTAGTAGGGCTAAAGAAGTTGAATAAAATAGAAGTGTTTTTCTCTTTCGCATGAAACTCCATAAGGCTAATCCAAAACTGCACAGTAACTTTGAGTTTACTTCTCTGAAGAGTTGGGTCCACGCTTCTTTCCGAAGCCAACAACTGCAGAAATGAAAAGCTCTAGTATTAAGAATTTAATCACAAACAAATGCATGATAACATACTGCAAGCATGGTTTGAAAACATCATTACTAATGCGGGTCAAAATTGCATCTGTGAGTATGTGGAATTGTTATTCCAAATGACTATACCTATAATGGTATTCGCTGCGGTTTGGTCTAACTACAGATTCCCTCGGTTTGATAAATAGACAGGAGATTACTCAAGAAAGGTTTTCGAGAAATGAAATTTTATCATTGATGCCCTATATGCCACCCTTTCAAAGTTCAAGTGTAGGACATCAAAAACAATAACCTAACACAGAATATGCCCATTACAAAACAAAGGATACAAATCATGATAACTGCAACATAGAAGAATAATGGCTTAGAAAGGTATTGAATCTATGTTTTAATGGATCAGAAAGACCATGTGAAATCCAATACCACATTATCACAAAGGAAAAAAAATGAACTAAACGTAGCCATCATTAGTAATAATGAAGCTAAAGAAAAAAATGGTGATCTCAAAACAGCATAAACACACTCGCAGTGGGTGCATTCAAGTTTCACAGGTCAGCGAGGGCCATTTGGAATGATCCCCACAAATTGAATGCATCATTGCAATTTATCCTATGCATTTCGTCCTGGTTTGACTATCGTTATGAGATCAGTTTTTACTGCAATATTTACTGCACTTTCCTTCCCCATTTCCGTTCACCATTTTCCAGAGAACCAAACAGAATACCATCATTCCTCAACTGCATTTGGGAGCGCTGAGCACTGCCAAATTTGCTTCAATATTTACTCTTTAATGTTCATTAAAATAAGACACAATTGCTTTCCAGGAACAAAAACAATTTTCGGTTGGACATACACTAAACTAGATTTTTTTTTCTAGATGTACTTCGTGAAAGCACTTACCAAATCAAATAAACATATACAGAACATCAAAAAGGATTTGTTAGAAGGTGATTTTAAGTGCTTTAAAAAAGCACTTATCTCAAAAGCAATTCTCAAATCAAATAAACACAAACACAACATCGAACCAATACTATCCATAAACATAAATAAAAAATAAAATTAAAAAAAAACCCGAAAGACATAAGCAGTGAGGATTGATTACTGACCAGCAGTGACAAAACGGCGATTGTACTGCATGCGCTTGTGGGCACGTCCACGTGGCTTCTTCTTCTTGTCTTGCTTGGCCACCTTCGGTGTCTGACCTCTCACCTTTCCGGCACGTGCCAGCGATCCGTGCACCTTACCTACACAAAATTAAAGCAGTCATAAGAAATTCAAAGACAGCGAACCAATCTAAATCGCTGGACTTCGTGAACAAGCGAGGGGGATTGCAGTTACCCATGGCTGATTGTCACTGTATCTTCTTCGTCTCGGAGAAAGAGAAAGGTTGCACGATTTAGGGTTAGGGTTTTTGAAGAGGCGATATTTATTTGGGTTGTTTGCGTAGATCCAATGGCTGGGATCAGCTGGTTGATGCAAACAAAAACGACGTCGTAGTTTTCATATCCTAAATAGGTAGACAAAAGTACCCTCCGCGCATTTGCATAATCACGAAAATGCCCTATATCACAAAAACCCAACCGCTCCCTCTCCTGCTCCGCCCTTTCCCTCCTCAAAAAAAAAAAAGAACCAACACCCAAAATGCAAAGCCACACCTTGAAACATCTAACATGTCCATGGCTTCTAAAATTCCGCTCTGCTTCATGCACTATTGCCTCTCTCTCTTTCACTCAGCACCCACAACCAGAACAGCAACAAGAACAAACCCAATACAGCATAAACAACAACAACAAGAGCAAAAGTAACAGCAACAAGGGTGGTTCATACTTTCCAAAGAGGGGGCAAGAACTTGAGCTGGTATGTGAGAGCTTAGCTTTTAAAGGGAAAGGACTGTGCAAGGTGGCAGACACTGGCTTCATTGTTCTGTGTGACCGTGTACTCCCTGGTGAGAAGTTTGTTGGCCGAGTTACACGCAAGAAAGGAAATTACGCTGAGGTTTGTTGATGTTTGTAGTTTAAAGTTTCAAGCTTAATTGTTGTTGTGTTTATAATTCACAACATTGTTGTGGGGTTTTTTTGGTTGCTGAGAGTATTTGCAAAATTGGGTCTTTGTTTTTTTTTTTTTTTTGTTTATTTGTGCTCAGGTTTTTACTTTGTTTAAGTAAAGAAGTCTTGAAGTTTTGGTTAGTTTGGTTCTGTTTGATGAGAAAATTTGTGGTAAATATGGATTTTAGACCTCATTTCAGTGACTGTCCAATCGGTAAATATTATGCTAAGGCTTTTACTTTTCTAAAAGTAACAAGTCATGAAAATGTTTGTTGGTTCTGTTTGATTAATGAGTAAATTTGAGGGGCATAGGAAGAAAAGAAATGGGAATGTTTGATTTCTTTTTATGTGGAAAATGTTAGGGTATAACATAAATGGTTTTTGTAACGGTATTGTGGTAGTGCCTAGCATCTTATTAGTTATATGCAAAGTCAATGTGGTAAGAAATTGTGGATTATACACATCATTTTAGTATAATAAAGTGGGTAATTGGTAATTGTTTCCATTTTTTCCTTGTTTTTACTGGCCTAATTATGATACAGGGGGAGGACCATTATGCTGCCCATCTTTGTAATGTTAATTTGCTCTCTTGAAATTGCAGGTGACCAAGATAAAGACAATATCTCCTCATTGGGATGCTGTGGATGCCCCTTGTGAGTATGCTTCATACTGTGGAGGTTGTAAGACGCAAAACCTGTCTTATGAGGCTCAACTTAGAGAAAAGGAACAACAAGTCCGTGATCTGGTGGTACATGTTGGAAGATTTTCTGATAAAGACCCAGAAAACTCTTGCGTTATGAAGCCCATTGTTCCCTGTGGTATTCAATTTAATTATAGAAATAAGGTTAGTGTAATAAACTATGTCCAATTTGGCTTAGTTAAAAAAGCCATTGTTTCTCTGTGTCTTATTTTTTTTCTTCAGCTTTTGGTAATCTTTATATCAAATACTGAACCTACTATTGGTGTGAAATTACAGAGAGAGCACTTATATTTTATCAGTTTCTGCATAAATGTAAATAACTTAATGAATGAACTAAGCAGAAATTCTCAGCTTCTAATTTCTTGATTCTGCAGATGGAGTTCTCATTTGGTTCTAAAAGATGGTTGCCTAAAGAATCATTTGAGAAAGGGGATGGTGAAGTGAATTATGCACTAGGATTACATGCTCCTGGCTTTTTTGATAAGGTTTTGAACGTTGACAAATGCTTATTGCAAAGTGAGCCTGCCAATGTGGTATGCTGTGTTTTTATTTTTACAATTGAAGTTCTTTATTCTTATGTGCATATGCTATATATTAGCTTTTGCCTTTAAATTTCCAGGATAAGTTTACTTAACATGTGTAGATAAAATCAGAGATCTCTCATTTATACATGTCTTCTATGCTGATAGTGGCACCAATAATATCATATAGAATTCCACATTCATTAATAAATTAGGAGAAAAATACACTAAAGGTGTAAGAATCTTTATAGTGTACGTAATGAGCTTTGAGATGTTTGCTGAGTCTAAGCTGCATGCACTCAGCAGGCTGCAGAGTGGTAACAGTAAACTCCAATAAAGCATGAGTGTACTTCAGGATATGCAACTTGGTGAAATATTCTTTGGAAGGGTTTGAAGTAGCCATCACATTTGGCAGGATAAGCTAGATCAGGGCAGGTCTATTTTAGATGGTTGTAGATGATTCTGAAGTTGGTGAGGAATAAATGAGAATAATCTGCAAAAGCTTGTGATATATAAATGTCAATGATATTTTCATGCTAATCAAAGCATCTTCATGTTCTTTGGTTGCTTGTATTATGCATGCTAAGATTTGCCACTTCTAAAACTCAACATTGTAAAGTTAGTGGGTTCATATGGATTAAAGAACATTGCTTTATCCTGCTGTTTAATTTCTGCAGCTTTTAAGTTATGATTAAACCATTATTTATTGATTAAATTATTTTTGAATGTGTGGGAGAAATTGACTTTTGACTGCTCTTTGATCTCATTTTATTACATAGGTCCTTGCTGCTGTCCAAGATTGTTGGAGAGACTCACAATTAGGTCTGTCTCCTTATGATGTCCACTCTCATGCAGGATTCCTCAAGCATTTAATGCTAAGATCTGGAAGGTACTTTGATTACTGTAGATCATATCGTCTTCAATTGCTTACATTCAGTATATACTTTGGATATTTCATTTGATTACGTGATGGCTTTTAGCATATTTTGCACTCTCTGAGTTCATGGGGCTATAGTTGTTGTAGAAAGCTATATCCCCTTAGATTTAATTGCTATATTACTCTCCAGGGATGTGAAGACTGGTCTGCCTGAACTCATGGTCAATTTCGTAACATCTTCTTACGAACCAGACCTGCTGAAGCCGCTGGTTGAGAAAATATCTTCAATTCCTGAAGTGGTTTGTACAGGAAATTTCAAATTTCAATATGTTTGAAAGCAAGCTTTTTGTGATTTTCCTTGTTATAGTGAACTAGAATTTGTGTGACTCAGATGCTTTGGTTGAAATAATTTTGTTGATAGGACTGCAGGTTGAATAAATTTGACCACCAAACTGGTTCCAGCCTATTAAGATCAGTTCTTTGTAATCAAAATACTGGATAGGGTCAGGTCCTAGTTGGTTGGATCAACATTGATTTTTTAGGGTAATGCACATAGTTGGTTGGTTCAACATTGATTTGATAGCCTAAAGCAGAAAGCGAAAACATAACTATGTGCGTATGACCAAAAGATATTGTGCCCATGAATTATTCAGTAATCCTTTGACTTGCACTGGTTGATGTCTTTTCTGTCTTTTACTTCTGTATATTTGTTCATCTATTTTTGAATTACCTGGTCCTATGTTCATTGCCTTTTTACGTTTTCATTTATCCATGTTTCTTTCTAAAAAAAATTTCTGATGATTGATAGGTTAGTATTATGAATAATGTCAATTCTTCTGTTGGTAACACATCTGTTGGGGAGGAGGAGCACACTTTATATGGGAAATCTACCATCACTGAGACCTTAAGAGGGCTTACGTTTCAAATCTCAGCCAACTCTTTCTTCCAAACAAATACTCACCAGGTATGCCAGCCCATGCTTGCTCCAACTAGTATCCTCTATCTCTTGCTTAAATTTACCGTATAGTTTCGTGGGTTAACTGTAAATGCAAAGATCTACATTGTTTAGGCAGAGGTTCTATATAAACTTATTGAAGATTGTGCTGGTCTCAGAGGAGATGGCTCAGAAATTGTGCTTGACCTATTTTGTGGAACTGGCACCATTGGCTTGACCCTTGCAAGAAAGTATATCTCCTCACTTCATTAGGTTTTACTTGTTGAGTCTTCCCAGTCTATTATTTCTGTTAAATTGGTTTTTAAGCTTAAGAGTATCTAAAATCATCGTCTGCCATTGTCATTCCTTGTTGGCAGGGTTAAACATGTTTATGGCTATGAAGTAGTTCCTCAAGCTATATCAGATGCACATAGAAATGCCACATTGAATGGTATTTCTAATGCTAATTTTGTCCAAGGGGACCTCAACAAAATTGGTGAAAATTTTGGCAATGAGTTTCCAAAGCCCGACATTGTCATTTCAGGTCGTCTTCTCTATCAACTATAGAATAATTTGATTATAAGACATGATTTTGTTCTTTACTGATAATTGATAAGCCTAAGCCAATTAGATACAGACTACACTGTGATACAGTTTCTTTTACATTGTTCTGGTCAGGCAGGGAAGTTGAATGAAATGAAATTTATAATCTTCATTATTTGATATTTACTTCAGTTAGAGATTGCACCCAATACTATTTTCTTTCTTTCTGTTCAGTCTATTTTTTCAACTTTTTTGGTTTAATGTCACAAATCATGCAGATCCAAACCGCCCTGGTATGCATATGAAATTGATTAAGTTCCTGCTAAAGCTTAAGGCACCACGCATTGTTTACGTATCGTGTAATCCAGCCACATGTGCACGTGACCTTGATTACCTTTGTCATGGTGTGGTATGTATGTTTACCAATAACTCTTGTTGTCTTTCAAGCTCTCTGCAGTCATAACTCTAGAAATCCTTTCTGCAGACAGAGCAAAATATTAAAGGATGTTACAAACTCAAAAGCCTACAGCCAGTGGACATGTTCCCTCACACTCCGCATATCGAATGTGTTTGCCTACTGGAACTATCTTGACCTTTGGCCGCAATTATCATGTGCCAACCTTTCGAGCCTAGATTTTGATTCATTGTCAATCTCTCAAGCAATTCTCCTTGCATATTCATCCTAGCTGCTCGGTTGCTCGCAAACTTGGCAGCTGATAGATCATTGTGGGAAAATATCTGGTGGCGTGATTTTCAGCTATGTCGTTAATTTTAGTTTCAGTGTTTATAGTTACCAGGATAAAGAACTTGATCATTGTTGGTTGATGGAGTTTGTTGATTAATGTTAAATAAATAGCTCGAGTTCCATATGGTTAGTCCAAAATCCAAATTTATGCCCCATTTGGACCTTCTTTGTTATTCAACTTTTGTAACTTTATTCATGTACTGTGAGAGAAGTTTCAAATAAAATCTAAGTTTGAAGTCTGGTTAACTTGATCATATCTTTAGACTCTCAGAAATGATTATTGCACCAAAAATTTTATTCGCGAGCCCCAAATTCCATTTCTGTAACAACTTTACCTGAAACTTTTATTTCGTATTTAAGATTATATCATATTATACTTTACTGATGAGCATGTTATTTTCACGGTTTCTGTACATTTGATGTCTGTGACACTATGAGGAATTGATCCAGAAAATATTGTACCTAATGTGACAACCTTCCAGGAAATTGTAATTTCATCTCACTATCAGTAAAAGATCAATAGTTTCTGATAAAGAAAATTTAGAAAAAGTTCCTGCTATAATTCGCATGTTGCAGACAATCCTGGATACTCAAATAAGTGCCAATTCTAAAGCAAAGTTGTTGCTGAATACATTACTGAATAATACTAGAGCAGAAATACCAGAAAAGTCTCTGCAGATTCACTTGTGGCTATATTCTTTTGGTTTAAGCCGAAGCTTTCAACCATAGGCAAGGAGTTCAGTGCTGTTTCATTTAAAAAATCTACTATCTGTAAACAGTAGAAAACTAACTTGGAAAGGAAGCAACTTCACAAGGAAAAATGAATCCTTTTCAATCATTGAGTAAATGTACATCTTTCGAAAGTAAGTTGTAAACATATGATTACTGATACAGAAGTATTGAATATTTGATAACTTAATCTGTTTCCCTTCATAATGTCTTATAAGAACCAAATATGAAGCGAATTGCAAGATACATTAATCATAGTGTTTTCTTTCTTCTTGTATGGACTGGAAAATCCGAGCAGCTGATTCTGTTGCTAATCTACTGTTATGCGGTACAACTTTAATCACCCGACTCTGCTCCTCACTGGTCTGAGCATTAATATCTGATGCTTGAACTATTGGTTCCATGGGGAAGAGAGGAAGTGCATCCCCAGTGGCTCTTTCAGAGGGACTACTTGCTGTACTTCCCTGTATCTCACTTTCTTTTGAAGCCTGAAATTTTCCAAAACAACGAGAGATTGCTCGACTCATCTGACTTGACATGTTCTGTGAATTTTGATGAGGCATCATGAAGTTAGTGTCCACCATTGAGAAATGATCGTCCTTTGACCGGGCTCCAGGAAACGGACTCATCTGCTCATCCACTGAACCTGAAACAGATGGATTCATTACCGGCATGCCGTATGGTGGAAAGTAGGTCTGACCGAAAGGAGTCGATCCCAGAAGAATTCCAAGCCCTTGGTGGTGAGATGCTGGAATACCATAAGCTGTGTTCAAGAAGTCTCCACTAGAAGGATTTAAGCTCATAGGACCACAGCTGCCATAAAATGGTGCCACAAAGCCTGCCGTTGGGGGGCATGGGCCTGTGTAGGGCTTATAAACAAGTCCTTCTGAAGGTGACATTACGGAAACTAACCACTGATTTCCAGGGGGTGGGAAACACCACGGAGATGGTTTGATGTTCCTTGTTGGAGCTGCCGGTGGTTCATTTACCAAATAATTTGATCGTTGGTTAACAAGTCCTTTGCTGGTGTCAGTGTTGACAGAAGAATGAGCAAAATTAGCAACTGCATTCTCATCTGCACATTCAGCATTGAGATCTGGGTTCTCAGACTGATCTTTAGCCTTCACAATACGGGGTGTTGTTTGTAGATCATACTCAGCTCGCAATCTCTTCACTTGAGGTACATTTAATGAAGGTTTGTCTACATAGAGATTATCTTCAAACAACAAATGTGGTGATTTGGCAATCAATTTTTGTACCTGTTTCAATTAAAAAATCCCATTAAATTTTGTTTTCCTTTCACAGATTTCGATCAGAAACCCAAGAAAGCATGAATGAGCGTTAGTTTTAGAAAATTATCAGCTTACCTTCATAAGTCTATGCAACTCAAATACTTGAACCGCAAAGACTCTTTGTTGGCTGAAAGAAGCAGCATAAAAGTTTATCAAGATCACTAAATAATAATTAATATCATGCATTGCAAAAAGTTAAAAATTATAACCAGATTAGGATCATATGATTTTCAAAAAATTATCGATCAAATTATTCAACCACAAGCAATATATGACTGTATCCAGGAAGCAGGTCTGACAACATAATACAAAATCTAATAGACTTTGCATCAAGCAATATCTGATCTAAAAGCACTAGAACAATTCGATTTGGAGTTGCCCTGCATGACTCTTATCATTCCGCCTTCCCCCATTTCAGTGATAAAAACCTAAATCAATCCAAGATTAATCAGTCCAAATCAAGCACAGATCATAAGCCCTTACTGCCCCTGAGGAAACTCATTGAAAGACAATATTGAGATTATCATCCATGGATGTTGAACCTGTTGCACAAGCTTATGGGCACCTAGTTACAATGTCTAGGTCAGGGCTGAAGATACTACGTACAATACAAATACTGCAGACATCTGAAAAGGACCATATAACTTGCTTGGCTAGAAAAAATTACAAAGATAACCATTCATAAATTAAAAACAATGAACTAATCTTTTATACGGATGATAAGAAGTAGATGTGTTCATTGAAACAGCCAGATGGAGATACTTACTTGATGATAGCTCTTCTCGCTTCCCAGAATTCCTGCTCACCAATGACTCCTACAACATCATCAGGGGAAATACCCAAAGCTGATGACGAATCCACCATTGAGGTATTAGAAACATCATCACGTCTGTCTACCTCTCTCACTTGCACGGATCGGCCATTTTGCTCTTCAAGGCACTCACTGCCATTTTCAAGTTCATGAGGACTACTATTATTATCTCCGGGTGACAGTCTCAAACATGATTCATTTCTCACCTTATAAGAATTTTCCTTATTCATGTCCCTCGTGGTTTCCATCAAAATGCCATCTCTAAGGGCCATCTCGTCCCTCAAAGCCTCACTCTCTAGATGTAAGCGAGCATTAGTCCCATGTAAACCATTTAAAATATCAATCGAACTCCTTCTATTTTCTTGGTTCAAAGATGAATGTGCTTTCTTTAATGATTCTGAATGCTTAACTTTAGGTACTAGTCTAGAAGACACGTCTGCTAAATTCCTGACTCTACCCAATGGGATTGGCGTAGACTTTCCCTCAGGGTCCTGACTTGTCTGAGAAAATTTTACATTCTCTTCATTTTGGTTCTTCAAATGAGATTTAGAATTCAGATCTCTAGGGCCAGATCCTTTCTTCAGCTTGTATTCTCGATCTTTGCTGTGTTGTCTATTGCTACACTGTGGGGCTATTCCTAACTGGCCAGAGCTGGAAACTCTAAAATCATTCTCATCTCCAAATTTCTTCAACGCAAAATTCCTGAAGTTGGAGAAGTTACCTTGTTTAAATGAAGTGCTTTTAGCAGTTGATGACAATGGTCCTCCAGTATTCAGACTCTGGTAATTTGTAGGTGTCATGGTTTTCCATTGTTGATTTGTCATCACAGTGTCCCGCTTGATACCACTGGACCCATAAGAATGAATTTTCTCAGGCAAAAAAGGAGGTGCAGGGGAGTTGCAGAATTGGCTAAACACACTCCTTTCATGATCACCACCCTTCAATGATGAATATAATCAAACCATCAAAATTGCGCAGTACTTAAAATCACACAGCAAGTTACTAATAAAATCAACATAAGTTAAGACCTTCCATCAACAATTACCACACAAATCAGAAAAGCGCTTCTTCTGAAAATCAAATAAATTTTCGACTAAGGAGAAAAAAAGCACCCTGAAAGGGTCAAAACAATATAAAGGGTGTTCTGAGATCACATCTACAATCACATTGCGTAATTAAATGAATAAGAATCCAAAACGTATAAACCAAAACTTGTTCGTGGCATCACAACTCAATCAGAACTGAAAGTTCATGATCACAAGTACAAACTACAAGTAATGGAAACAATTACAGATATGAACTTAAGGATTTTTACAAAAAACAACCATAGATATTCAAACTCACATTGCTGGATGACATTGAAGGAACCAAGCTACTGCCACTGCTAGATGGAAGAGGCAACATGGATGCTGAGCCAGAACCTAACCTTTGAGATGGAATACTTAGCTGTTCATAGAGAGCCATTTTGTTCCTTGGAGGCGCCCTTGGCCCCCCTTTTTCTGTATCGTTCACATGAAGCCTTGGAAACATAGGACTAGTCACCTTCATCTCATCTTTTCCTCCTCTCATTCTCTCCACTCCTCTCCTCTCCTCTCCTCTCCTCTCCTCTTCTAGTCCTTCACCACAAATTCAACTCACTAAAACCACAATTTCTTCCACCAAAATCACAACATAATCCCATAAAAAACCCAACAAAGTTTGCCAAATTCACAGCACTCAAAGATCAACACACCTCAAAGAAACAAATCCTGTGGCTTAAAACCATAAACCAACAACAAGAACACATGAACAAGCACACCAACAACACAAACCAACCTAGTTGATGAAATCAAATCCTCAGGCCAAAAAGTTCAGAACCCGTCTCAGAGAATCACCCATAATCAAGAATCCATCAACAAACAGCAAATATGGATTGAATGGAGGTGGTGGCAACATAGAATGTAATGTCAGGTAAGAAAACAAAATAAACAAAAGCACTAAAGTGAGATAGATAGATAGATATTGGCTCATATAAAAAGATTAGATTCTACTAGCTACAAGAGGGTTGCTTTGGAATTCCACGACATCAAAAAGATAATAAAAGAACCCAAAAAAAATAAAATAATAAAATAATAATAATAATAAAAAAACAAAACAAGAGCTAACAAAGAGGTGTGGGCAATGTAGGACCCAATTAAGTGGATAGAATCACACAGCTGAGTCTGAAGAAACTTTCTCTTCTCTTTATCCTCTACAGTACTTGCATGTACAATACTTTCATTAAGGAACGACATTAGCGGATTATGATCCGACGTGTCGACACCCAATTGGTTGTTCAGTACAAGGATTAAAGGAAATAGACAGAAGCGACTGAGTCTGAGTAAAACCTGGGAGTTAAAATTAACCACATGTTAATTATGTTAAAA